TTGCAACTGGTCCCTAAGACAACAATCCACCACACTTGACTTCAGGAAAAACAATCCTTTTTATTGATGAAAGATGAGTACAAAAATAGGAAAATATGCAAGGTAAAAAGCCACAGTAAAAATCAGCAACAAGAAATGATCAAAAAACAAGATCAAAACAAGATCAAAAAACCCACAGTAACACTGCTAAATCCTGGAACCTGTTAGCAATCCACTAACCGTACTTGAAGCACTAGAAAAACTCCTTGGAATAAAGCCACTGGAAGCAGGAGAACTGCAGGAGTCTGCACATGAATCTGAAACGATGCCTGGTCTGAAGATGCATCCAGGTGGAAGGCACTTAAAGCCGAGAAATCTATTACGTGACATGCCTGAAGGTTTTGAAGGCCTTGTTTGCATTTCTCTCAGTCTAGCTGACCTTCGTAAACCTTGTGATTCTCCCCTGCTCTGCCAAATCTGCCCTCTCCTATTCTCATTAGAGAGCCCAGGTGTCAGATTCTCTGAAGAGCCAAAAGGGAGTGAAGGTTCACCACTTGGCTCTGAAATATTCTCATGGGAATTTGGACTTTCGCTTTTCAAAGCTGCAGGAGTTTCTTCTAAATTGACCTCAGAATCAGCATCCTCATTAGCATCAGGAAATACATTAGCATCAGGAAATACAATCAGAGAATCAGGTTCAGGTTCAGGTTCAGACACAGGCTGAACCCCAACAAAAAGAATCAATGAACAAATGGGCACAAAACATAGAACACCAAATAGAACTAAATCAATGGGAGAAAATCTGGAATAAAAAAAATCAAATATACCTATTCTTATGACCTTAAAGAGAACTTACTGAAAATGGCACATAGGTGGTATATAACACCTCAGAAAATTTTAAAATGTTACAAAAATGCATCAAACAAATGAGAAAAAATGTAACCAGCAAAAAGGCACATTTTTCCACATTTGGTGGACTTGTCCAAAAGCTAAAAACTTTTGGAATATTATTCTAAAAGACATACAAAAGATTCTGAAAATACAAATTAAAAAAGAGCCAGAATATTTTTTGTTAGGAATGCTCGACTTTGAAGGAGAGAAAAACAAAGAAGTACTATTTACCTACCTAACTACTGCAGCCAGAATTGTAGTAGCGAAGAATTGGCGACTGAAGGAAACACCTCAAAGAGAAGAATGGCAAAATAAATTTTTGGAGATAATGAATATGGATGAACTAACCTATTGGTTATCATCAAATCGAGAAATTCCAAAGAAACGTACAAAGTAGGACCCGGTAAAATACTACTTTAGACAATGGAAAATAGACATTATTGTCTAAAAAGAGTAAATTATGATTAAAGAAGATACAGAGGGGAAGCAAAGAACATTCACTGTAAGGGAAAAGAAATATCAACGACCACCAAAGACTAGATGGAAGTCAATATTTTTTTTCTTCATTTTTTTTTCAATTTTTCAATTCATTTTTTCTCTTTTTTTCCTCCTTATCTATAACAAATATGTTCTTCCATTTTCGATGTAAAAACTATTTTCTTTTTAATAGTTGCAAAACCTTTCAATAAAAATAACTTCAAAAAAAAATACTGTGCAATTCTGAAAAATCAGTAGGTCCTGAAAAAGATCCAGTGCTGATGTCAGGTTACAAATGAATCTATTTGTGTGTGTGTGTGTGTGTGTGTGTTGTTGTTGTTGTTGTTTTTTTTGCAGTCATATCCAGAAAGTAGGTAACTGCCTTCAAAAAAAGAAAGAAAGAAAGAAGACAGAAAGAAAAAGAAAAAGAACAGAAAGAAAAACAAATCACAGGATCTGGCTCCATGTAATGAAATCCACCCATATTAATGTCATCTTCAATGATGAACAAGCAGCTGGAGAAAAATCAATGCAAGGCGATAAAGGACAAAACTGGCCAGGAAGGAAAATTTATTGAAAATGCTTCTTTGAGGGAATGGTAGACAAAGAATAAAAATAGCACTCATGTCCTTTTAGGGGATTCAATATTCAGCATGAAGTATATTGCTAAGCGCATAAGCAGCATCGTGGTTGCGGTAATGAAAATATGTCAAGCAGCTTTTAGTTGTACTTCTCTGGTCTACTTTGGGAGAAGTCCGTGGGATAACAACAAAATCCTTTTACCCTTTGCTTGGGATAGATTACCTGTACAAACAAATCTCCCCCATGAACCATAGCAGAGATTAAGATCCTCCGGGGAGGCCCTGCTTTCCGTCCCGCCATTGTCACAGGCACGATTGATGGGGACGAGAGACAGGGCCTTCTTGGTGATTGCTCCCCGGGTATGGAACTCCCTTCCTGGTGAGATCAGGTCGGCCCCCTCTCTCCTGTCCTTTAGAAGGATGGTAAAAACTTGGCTGTGGGACCAAGCTTTCAGGACAGGACAATAAAGCGGCAATAGGAAAGATGACCAGACCAATTAGATATGACGCTGATGACTAGGACGGTTTTAAATGGTGTATTTTAATATTTTGATAAATGTTTTTTAATATTTATGTATTGTATGTGAATCTGTGTCCCGGCATTGAATGTTTGCCGTGTATATGCTGTGCCCTGAGTCCCCTTCAGGGTGAGAAGGACAGAATATAAATATTTTATTTAAATAAATAAATAAATAAATAATAGAGGAAGAACCAAAAGGGCCAGTATTTGGGAAGGCTGAGCAGTGTTAAAAGGTCCCGAAAGCTACTATGGGAGCAGAGCAATTCCTAGATCAGTGTTTCTCAACCTGGGGGTCGGGACCCCTGGAGGGAGGTCGTGAGGGAGTGTCAGAGGGGTTGCCAAGGACCACCAGAAACACAGTATTTTCTGCTGGACATGGGGGTTCTGTGTGAGAAGTTTGGCCCAATTCTAACGCTGGTGGGGTTCAGAATGCTCTTTGATTGAAGGTGAACTATAAATCCCAGCAACTACAACTCCCAAATGTCAAGTCTATTTTCCACAAACTTCACCAGTGTTCACATTTGGGCATATTGAGTATTCATGCCAAGTTTGGTCCAGATCCATCACTGAGTCCATAGTGCTCTCTGAATGTAGATGAACTACAACTCCAAAACTCACCAAACTCTTCCAGTATTTTCTGTTGGTCAAGGGAAGTCTGTGTGCCAAATTCAATTCCATCATTGGTGGTGTTCAGAATGCTCTTTGATTGAAGGTTAACTATAAATCCAAACAACTACAAGCTTGGGAAAATGGAAGGAAAAAGGAAGAGGGGCTGACCAAGGGCAAGATGGATGGATGGCATCCTTGAATTGACTGCCTTGACTCTGAAGGAGCTGGGGGAGGTGACGGCCGACAGGGAGCTCTGGCGTGGGCTGGTCTATGAAGTCATGAAGAGTCGGAAACGACTCAACGAATGAACAACAACAACTCTCAAATGACAAAATCAACCCTTCCTCCCCTCCGCAATGCTACCAGTATTCAAATGTGGGTGTATTGGGTATTTGTGCCATATTTGGTCCAGGGAATGAAAATAGGTCCTGCATATTAGATATTTACATGACTATTCATAACAGTAGAAAATTGCAGTTATGAAGTAGCAACATAAATAATTTTATGTTTAGGGGCCACCACAACATGAGGAACTGTAATAAGGGGTCAAGGCATTGGATTTCACAGGTGACCACTGGAGGAAACATGGTTACAAGTAAGCAACCCATGCTTCCTCTGTGTGGTCCCTGTGAAATGCACACATTTAGGTGATTGCCACAGAAAGCAGAGTATTTGGGTTATTTATTTGTCGTGTCAGAACAACCAGTCAAATTATATTACATTTCTAACAGAACAAAGCAAACAAGCAGATTACAAAATTTGTGAGTATGAGAGTTGATTAAATGTCCTTTGACCAGTATCTGGCCACTTGGAGTGCTTCTGGTGTTGCTGCAAGAAGGTCCTCCATTGTGCATGTGGCAGGGCTCAGGGTGCATTGCAGCAGGTGGTCAGTGGTTTGCTCCTCTCCACACTCGCATGTCGAGGATTCCACTTTGCAGCCCCATTTCTGAAGGTTGGCTCTGCATCTCGTGGTGCTAGAGCGCAGTCTGTTCAGTGCCTTCCAGGTCGCCCAGTCCTCTGTGTGCCCAGGAGGGAGTCTCTCATTTGGTATCAGCCATTGGTTGAGGTTCTGGGTTTGAGCCTGCCACTTTTGGACTCTCGCTTGCTGAAGTGTTCCAGTGAGTGTCTCTGTAGATCTTAGAAAATACTGTAGATCTGTAGATCTTAGAAAATCACAGATCACAGTATTTGGGTGATTGCCACAGAAAGTAGAGTAGTTCACACTGCCTACCAAGAGCAGAGGCATAAAAGTAACTGAACATCCTCAAGTGTCTAACCCAAGAAGACAGTTTGAGCAAATAAGGAAACCTTTCTGAAATATTAAGCTGCCAGCATAATTGTACACACAATAAGGGCGCAGCTCCTGTCTTTTAACATTTGTAGATTTGTATATGCTGTCTTTACTAGAATTTCTAGCAATAAAACATACTAGTAACATTCACGGAATTAAGGGGAGATTAATGTGACCTATGGGCCGGGCTTTAGCACAGCAGGCTAACCACTAGCTACAGTACCACTACAGTAAATCTTGCCAACCAAAAGTTTGACAGTTCAAAGCCCGGGTTAGGATGAGTGCCAAGAGGAAGGCGCGTCAACCCAACCCCGACCGGGACCGCCTTCCACCTGGAAACCAATGCCTTCACTGCAGGAGAACATGCAGATCAAGAATAGGGTTCCACAGTCCCCTACGGACCCACCGCCAGTACACCAATCTTGGAAGACAATCCTACTCGGACAACGAGGGATCGCCTAAGTAAGTAAGTAAGTAACTTTGGTACCATTTGGCAAATCTACACATGGTAATAACTGATATGTGATGTGGAAATCTGCTTTTAAGAATGGTGTTTTCTGCAATTTTTTAAGATATAAGAATTGCAGAAAATATACTCACATACGCATAGGCCACCAGTCCCTAGTGAGAGTAAGAAACACTTCTATAGCAATGAGGGAGGAATGCTTTAATGAATGTCATAGTAACAGGATCCATTTAGATCATTATCATCTTGTGTGCATCATGCAGTCCTGATGTCATCATGCAAAATCTGTTGGGGCAGATGAATCTGCACTGCAGGAGAAAGTGATTTGCCCAGATGTTGCATAGTAACCGGAGCTGTCTGTGGAGAATCGCTGAGAGAGGAAGACTGAATTCAGCTGCACTTCACCAAAACAGAAGTTCTCAAAGAGCTGAAAGAAAGAAGACAGAAGTCAGGAGGAGGCCAAATATAGTCAACATCTATATGCTTGTGGTGCTTCTCTAGAGGTTGGATTTGTTGAGTAGTAAGTGATCAGACATTTTTTTAACATAGCTCACAATTTTTCAACCTTCCTTAAAAAAAAAAACCTTTTCAAAATACAGGCTTTACAAAATACAGTAGTAAAGGATGGAATTTGAAGTAAAAAATATCTTTAAGGTCAATGTTTTCCATTGCTTACACCAGGGTTTCTCAAGATGGGGGTCTGGACCCCTGAGGGGGTCACGAGGGGGTGTCAGAGGGGTTGCCAAAGAACATCAGAAAACACAGTATTTTTTGTTGGTCACGAAGAGTTCTGTGTGGAAAGTTTGGCCCAATTCTATCGTCGGTGGGGTTCAGAATGCTATTTGATTGTAGATGACATTTTTCTTTTTCATATCAGTGAGACTTCAGGCGCCATTTCTGAAATATTTTGATTTTGTAAAGGCCAGATTTAGTAGTTTTGCAGATTATATCTGGGCTAGGGATTTTTTTTTCTCTCTCTCTACAAACCTGTTAGAAATCTACGATCATCTGGGGATGGTCTTCTCTCTGTCCCACCACCCCCTCAAGCACGTTTGGTGGGGAGAGAGCCTTTTTGGTGGCTGCTCTCGGACTTTGGAATTCCCTCCCAAGAGAAACCAGGATGGCCCCATCCCTGCTTGCCTTTTGCAGGCAGATCAAGACATATCTCTGCTGCCAGGCATTTGGGGATAAGGGGCAGGTTGCTGGGGATGATGTGGATGGGATTTTGGGGGATGTAATTTTAATTGTATTTTATTGTATTTTAACTGGATTTTAAGTTTTGTATCAATGATGGAAATTACAATTTTTTAAAAAAAATGTATTTGCCTCATTCTAAATTTTTATTGGGTTTTGTCATGTTATAGTGTGCTGCCCTCAGTCCCTATGGGGAGAAAGGCGGGATAAATAATAATAATAGTAATAATAATAATCTACATAAATAAAAATGTAATGTTCGTTTGTGGGATTCACAGAACTCAAAAACCACTGGTTGAATTGACACCAAATTTGGACACAAGATGCCTAACAACCCAATGTATGTCCTTCAATCATAAAAGCACTGAAAAACACAGCAGAAGGGACTTAAAAAGCCCCAAAAAGCTAAATGACGAAAAGCTAAACGACAATACAGAAAAAAGGAAAGAAAGAAGGAGGGAAGGGGAGAAAAAAACATAGAAAGAAAGAAAAGAAAGCGGGAAAGAAAGAAGGAAAGGGATAAGGACGCATGGAAGCAAAGAGAGAAGGAAGGAAGGAAAGAAGTAGAGAAGGAAGAAAGGAGAGAAAGAGGGAGGGAAAGAAAAAGGGAAGGAAGGAAAGTTAGAGAAGGAAGAAAGGAGAGAAAGAGGGAGGGAAAGAAAAAGGGAAGGAAGGAAAGTTAGAGAAGGAAGGAAGGAGAGAAGGAAAGAAAAAATGGAAAGAAGGAAGGAAAGAAGGAAAGAGAGAAGGGAGAAAAGAGACAGCAGAAGAGAAAGAAAAAGGGGGAAGGAAGGAAAGAGAGAAGGAAGGAAGAAGAGAAGGAAAGACAGGAATGAAGGACGGACGGAAGGAAGGAAGGAAGGAAGGAAGGAAGGAAGGAAGGAAGGAAAGAGGGAGTGAAGGAAGGAGGGAAAGGAGAGAAAGAGGGAAGGTTGGCCACAGCAACGCGTGGCGGGCACAGCTAGTAATCTATATAAATCAAAGTGCAATGTTCGTTTGTTGGATTAACATAACTCAACCACTGGACGAATGGACACCAAATTTGGACACAAGACACCGAACAGGCCAACGAGTGACCATCACTCATAAAAACACTGAAAAACACAGCATATGCCAAAAAACAAAAATTACATTACAATGCATGCACAAAACCACATATATACACAAACACACATATATACACATATACACAAACATACACACACTCATATATACACACACAAAACACATATACTCAGCAATAGAAAAAAACATTAATTATAATAATAATAAGGCCCCCCAGTTGGCCATTTATGTGTCTCCCTTTTTACACTTCTTGTCTAGACATGCCTCCAGAAAGTAGAAAGGAAAAATAGTAATAGTGGAATCAGCCGGAAGACTAGTGTTTGCTTCCTTCCCTGGGTCCCCATAGATTAGAATATGACTACAATCTCTCTTTCATCATACAACAGAAGCTCAGCAGCTGTGATCCCAATAAATTTTAGGAACTAGGTCAGAGCCTTTCATTGTTGATATGTGGTAGTATCAAAGAAGATATGTACATACACTCATATACATATATACATGCACACATACGTACATACACGTATATATATACCGAAGCACACACAAATATATACACACATACATATACATACACACACAAGTTGCCTCCGGGCTGAGAGGAGCGATATACAAGTATAGTAAATAAATAAATATATACATATACAAATGCAAACAGAAATATATGTAAGCACACATACATGCACACAAATATGCATATAGACAAGCACACACATATACACAATCTACATATACACATATAAACACAGATATATACACACATATAAACACATCGACATACACACACATATACACCCATATATATGTGTATGTGTGCACAAACACATATATACACAGATACACAAATATATACACACATATCTATATGAATAAAAATGTAATGTTTGTTTGTGGTATTAACAGAACTCAAAAACCACTGGACGAATTGGCACCAAATTTGGACACAAGACACCTAACAACCCAATGTATGTCCTTCACTCAAAAAAATTGATTTTGTCATTTGGGAGTTGTAGTTGCTGGGATTTATAGTTCACCTACAATCAAAGAGCATTCTGAACCCCACAAACGATGGAATTGAACCAAACTTGGCACACAGTTCTCCCATGACCTACAGAAAATACTGGAAGGGTTTGGTGGGCAGTGTCCTTTGGTTTTGGAGTTGTAGTTCACTTACATCCAGAGATCACTGTGGAATCAAACAATGATGGATCTGGACCAAACTCTACACGAATACTCAATATGCCCAAATGTGAATACTGGTGGAGTTTGGGGAAAATAGAATCTTGACATTTGGGAGTTGTAGTTGCTGGGATTTATAGTTCACCTACAATCACAGAGCATTCTGAACCCCACCAATGATTGAATTGGGCCAAACCTCCCACACAGAATCCCCATGTGGGCCACAGCAACGCGTGGCAGGGAACGGCTAGTAAACACACATATATACACACAAAACACATACATACAGACTGGGCCACAGCAAAGCGTGGCAGGAGACGGCTAGTCTATATATAACAAATCTTTAACTTGGGGCAGCAGGGTTTTCTTTGGTGATAGGTACCGTACTTTGTGATTTCCATGAAAAATTAAAATGACTTCAGTTTATCTATGAACTGTACTCTTATATTATCCATGTTTGGCAGTTTTGTCCAAAATAACAGCAGGGAAATCAGACATGTTAAGTCTCTTGTCCCAGTTCCTTCAGTAAAACCTTTCAAGGGCACTTACATGTGCGTATACACACACACACACAGTTCAGGAGAAAGCAGCTCTAGTCATTAAAACTACACAAGAGACAGATGAAAGTATGACATCAGAATTCATTATACAAAGAGCTCAGGAGTATTGCTTAGGAGAAACTTCACATTCATTTGCTTTTCTTCCTTCCATTAAGAAGCAGGAAATTGCTTGGCCTTAAAATGCAAGTTATGTCTTTGGAAAACCTTTCAGCAAATATACTAATTTCAAACTCAGTTTAATGCTGTTGTGCCAAAGGTCAACAGTGCTGAGTAGTTTAGTTTCCCCAATACGGAGGCCTTAAAAACCACGCTCCTCCTGACTTGTTCGGCATTTTATGTCTGTCCCTACAGACCTCATCTCAAGATGGACGTGCTCAACTCTTCCTGCCATTAAGGACTCCCAATGGCTTTGAAAAATCTACAGCTTCATTAAGCTCTGCTCATCCATAGCTGATGACCCATTGATTCTTGTGTGCATAACCACTGACATTCAAATATCAAGTTGGCAGGCATAATGCTGTATCTCACTCTTTCCAGAAACGTATTGAAGACTCCCTGGCACAGATTATTCTCAACCACTTCTTCCTTGGCGTTGGCCATTTGTCTGATGTTCTGTGACCCTCTAATGTAAATCACAATTTTCCAAAGTGAGGCACCTGACGCCAGAAGGGTTGTCAAAGGGAAGCTGAGGAAGAGACTGAGATTACACAGAGATAGGGATTTTTAAGGGAAATTTCAGCTGCCTGGGCTCCCTGCTGTACCATCAATCCTACTACAGACATACAGAGGACACTGGGAGTTGCACCCAAGATATGGAAGATGCATTTCAGCTCAATGAACAAGATACGTTGCAAAATGTGATGTGATTTATTTACTATTTGTTTATTTACTATACTTGTATACCGCTTTTCTCAGCCTATCGGCGACTCATGGCAGTTTACAACAAGTCAGTACACATAACATCAAAAACAAATTAAACATTAAAAACAATATAAAACCATCAGAGTAATACAATAATGTGCCATCAGTGTGACGGTGCGAGTGGGGCCACCTATGTGTAGAACTCTTAGTTGCAATATTTAAACTGTTGTATCATGCTTAATCCTGCCTTTTTACCCTGCTTATGTATAAGTTGGATTGATTGGTTACTTATAGCTGTCAATCAGTATTGTTTGGCTCCACCTCTTCCTGCAGGAGGGGAGTGCTTCCTTTGTTTTCATTCTGCCATCAGAGTTTCTACCAGATGGACGTGAGTAAGAGACTTGACTCTAAAAGACCCTGATTTAAATTACCTCTCGGCAACAGTTCCGAGATTTTTTACCCTTGAGACTTGTGCTTCATGTTCAGACCAACCTGAACGACGTTGGAAGTCTCAAGCGCCTTCAAACCGATTCCTTTGGCACCAAAGGAAGATCCTGAGTCTTCAAACATA